AAAACTAGTCTAAGAGATAGAGATTTTCAGATGCTTTATGAGTAAAGATACATTGGGGTTAAAAACAGAAAGGAACCCCACAATATTTTATAGTCATTAAGAAATTTCAGATCCTGCAGGTATAAATTCCTCACAGTTTGGAATGTTGGGCTTCTTCTAGCAGTCATAGTTATTTCCTTGTTGAATGTCCTCCATGTATATTGTAGATAGAAACTTCTTCATATGTTTGGGAAATGATTTGGCAAATATAATTGGCTAGTAAATATTTTAGATTTCGTGGATCACATGTCATCTATTACATATACTTTTTACTTTTTATAGCCTTTTAAAAATGAAAAAGACTATTAATTTCATATATATAGAAGAACTGGTTTCAAGCCTGATTTTAGTCAACATTTGCACTACTGTATCAATAAGGTTGCTGTGAGATACAAAAGTTAAGGCCATATTGGCTTGAATAAAATAGACAACAATCAAAATGTCATAGAGGAATGAAATTCTTTTAAAAGATTTATTTATTTGTACATACAGAACTGGGGTACAGGCCAGAGGCTCAGGGGTGGCGAGAGGCTTCACCAGAGACAAAGTGGGGAGCAGAACAGGCAGATCGACGAAGTACACTGCTGAGGGGAGCAGTGGGCGGGTCAGGAGAGGTCTGCCATGCCATGTGGTCACCTCCAGGGCAGGTGGGATCGAACTCATGCAGAAGGGGCTTTAGCTCCTCAGTGCTGTGCTTTAACCCGCTGTACCACCAGGGAGGGCCAAGAGGAATGAAATTTTTAATTGAAATGACAGTCTCTTTATCTCATTAAGTTTATACATGATTGTTCAAATGGAAATGCAAAAGAAAAAAAACTTTTAAATCTTCAAAAATCTATTGCTTAGTTGGTTCTTCTCCATCTTTTGTTTTTGGCAAATTTCAGATTTATGCCATAGTAGAATACTATAATGATCCCTTCAGTCCTGCTTCACTAATTTTCATCTAGCAGTCAGTTATTAATTTATACTCTTTCTCTCTTTCCCAATCACACTGAATCATTTTGAAACAAATTTCAAGCATCACATTGTTTAATTTGTAAATATCTCAGTATCTCAAAAATAAAGACTTAAAAAAAAAGCACACTATCAATATCAAATATTGAAAAAAGTTGATAGCTACTTAATATTCTAAAATATTTAGTCAGTGCTCTCATTTTCCCAGTAGTCCCAAAAATATTTTGTTGTACTCTGCATGAATCAGAGTCCAGTTATGGTGTACATATAGTAAGTCATTATTTGTCCCTTGTTTTATTTTTTATCTTTATTTTTATTATTTTTTAAAATATTTATTTATGCATACAGAAATAGGGTACAGGCCAGAGCTGGGGAGCTTGGTGGCGAGAGGATTCACCAGAGACAAAGTGGGGAGCAGAACAGAGAGAGCTACTGAAATAACACTGCTGAGGGGAGCAATGGGCGAGATGGGAGAGGTCTGTTGCACCATGTGGGTCACCTCCCTGGCCAGAGATGCCAGCTCACACTGCAGTGGCTGCCCATAGCTTCATAGTGCTGAGAATTAACCAAGGAGGCCCAACATTTAAACAGCTTGCCACATTTTATGTACCCCTGACTCTACAGACACACAAATAATTTGTGTTTTGGTTGTCATTTAAAAGAAAATGGTAGGTGTTTCTTTCTCATACATGAACATATTTCTGCAAAAACTTAATGTCTTTATTATCTCTCTGAATAGTTAATGTTCTCTAGGTCCTAAAACTAGTCTAAGAGATAGAGATTTTCAGATGCTAACTAATTTTTTTCCTGGTCCTTTGGTGTACTGTATTCATTTCTCTGTTAATTGCTATACCACTTTGAAACACAAAATAAAAAAAGAGTCTTACTTTTGAACTATATAATATAATTTCATTTATGTTAAGAGTCTTTATGTATTGTGTGTGTGTTGTTTAAATGTATATGCATTAGAATCTTATAAGGACTAAAGCTTACTTTATTGAGGGGCTATATTGTAATACCATTGCATGGCATGCACCTCCAGTAGGTTAAAACTAGACTTTGTAGAGCTCTTCAGATCCTTAAAACTCAGTTTTCTATGAAATATGGCTCCATTAAGTTTACAGTTAAACAGTCCATTAAGTTTATGATAAGACACAATTTTCATAATGTTTGAACATACAAAGCACTTACATATTTTTCTCTCTCTTCTTTTTAAAGATTGATTTATTTATGCTTACGAAACTGGGGTACAGGCCAGAGGTGCAGGGGCAGTAAGAGGAGTCACCAGAGACAGAGTGGGGAGCAGAACAGGCAGATGTACAGAAATACACTGCTGAGGGGAGCAGCAGGCGGGTTAGCAGAGGTCTGCCACGCTATGTGGGATCAGCTTCCTGGCGGGGGATTAAACTCTTGCTGCAGTGGCTTCAGAGAGCTTCATAATGTGGTGCTTTAACCTGTTGTGCCACTTCCATTTGAATATGGTTGATGGCAGGACAGAAGGTAGCTATCTATACAAGAGGTTTCATTGCTTTGACCAGAAATGAATGGGGCAAGCCCACATATTTCTCTTAACTGAAAAAAGGATATTTTTCTTAAAATGGTGGTAAAGAATAAGGACTCAGATTTAATTTCTCTTCAAGCCTACGCTCTTTGACAAATGGTCTATTTGACTTTTTGTGAAATGAGTCCATACTAGGTGACCTCCAGTTAGATTAATATATCTAATGCTATGTGTGATAGGTGTATTTACATAAATCCTATGTGATCAAGAAATTTCATACTTTAAAAAAGTCTGGTGGCTCAGCGGGTTAAAGCACGGCTCTAAGAAGCTTAAGCCAATTCCGCATGAGTTTGATCCCCGCCTGCCCCAGAGGAGATCCACATGGCGTGACAGACATCTCCTGACCCGCCCGCTGTTCCCCTCAGCAGTGTACTTCGTCAATCTGTCTGTTCTGCATCCCACTCTGTTCCTGGTAAATCCTCTCATCCTCCGCATCTCTGGCCTGTACCCCAGTTCTGTATGTATAAATAAATCTTTAAAAAAAAAAGTCTTAATGGTTGCACTGAAAACACTTTATTTTCATGACTGACTTGAATTTTTTTCTGTTTGATAGCTCGAATCACATCTTTACAAGAGGAGGTGAAACATCTCAAACATAGTCTTGAAAGAGTGGAAGGAGAGAGAAAAGAGGCTCAAGATATGCTTAATCATTCAGAAAAGGTAAATTAGCGCGCACACACCATTTATGAGAGTTTTTACAGGTTATCATGCAATAAGGTAGTTTTATTAAGTAACATTCATTCCTAATGTTTAAATATTTATATTCCTTAAACTTTTTAATGACTGCCTGGTTACCTTGTGGGTTGTTTATATATGTCTTATTTATTGCTTCTTACTGTCATCTTTTTACTTGTTTAATTTTAAGCCTTGAAGTGTATTAGATGTTTTTATATTACCTGATGATTGCAAATTGCCTTGATTTGGAAACACCTCTTCATATACAATATTCTTTCATCTTACTATAGTTGGATAAGATGAACCTAGTAGCCTTATGGAGAAGGAAAATGAAGGATCATGTGTGCTTTTTTTTACATGTTGTTGATCAGAGTTAGAAAAATAGAAAAGAGCATAGATTGGACTTTGCATGTAGAATTTCCTAAATGATATATTATTTGCTGTAGATAATATTCAGCTCTGACTCTTTGTCAGTACCTCTGAAATGTTATAGCCTTAGCACATCTTCAAATCAGGAAGTCCACCATTTACCTTGTCTTTTGGACACGTTTTATGAGAAATGGATTAGCTTTTTGAAGTCTAAATCCAGTGTAAATATAAAAATACAATGATAGAAGGAAGAATAGAAGAAGCAGACAGACATTTTAAGTTGTTCTCTTTTTAGAGTAATGTAAACCAAAGTATGTATACAAATGTAAATTACAGGTGATTATTTTTTAAGGACCTGAAGGCTTGCACCATTCATTTCTGGTCAAAGCAATGAAACCTCTTGTATATATAGCTACCTCTGTCCTGCCATCACCATTTTCAAATGGGAAGTGGCAAGAAGTTTTAAAAAGGTAGTATTTTCCTTTTTATTATATGCACTTATTGTGATTTTAAAAGTGAGGCAATTTATATACACACAGTGTGAAACATGTAAGAAAGTTAAAAATAAAAGACTATATGCTGAATAGAAATATTTATGTGGTGTTACATATTAGGCCAGTGTGATCATATATTATCTCTTGTGGAATATTATTTAAGATTTAGTAGTGTATTTTTTTCATAATGAATTACATGATTCTCATTTTACAGGAAAAGAATAATTTAGAGATAGATTTAAACTACAAACTTAAATCATTACAACAACGGTTAGAACAAGAGGTAAATGAACATAAGGTAACTAAAGCTCGTTTAACTGACAAACATCAGTCTATTGAAGAGGCAAAATCTGTTGCAATGTGTGGTAAGTGCCAGTTTTAATATTTTCTACATCAGTAGTTGTTAAATAATGGCCACAAAAATTTTTTGTTTTGATAAAAATTTCATTGTAAAAGCTATAAATTATGATCTAGAAAAATGTTTCTTTTTTTGATACTTTCCACTTTTTTTAAATCACAATTTCATCTTTTCATTTCCTCCCTCTACTACCTTATATTTCCTTCACTACCTTATATACTTTGTTAAGTGAGTGACTAATATCTCCCCTTTTTTTTTTTTAGCCTTTTCTTATTTTTTTTTATCCCTTCTGGAGCATTTCCTATTTTCTACTCTGAATTTTCCCATTCTTTTGTGTTTGAGTTGCAATATGCCTCTAAATACAGCCCTAGAACAGAACATTTGTCCACTTTCTTCAATTCTAATAATTCTTCAGATTGATGTTAGCCCAGTACAGTATCTCCAACTTTAGTAAAGCTGTCAGTTTCATAACATTGCAGTCATTTCCTTCTCCCTAACTATGTGTCTTCTCCAGCTTCTTTTGCTGTTTATCATTCTACTTTTAGGTCAACTTTTCTTATGTTTCAAAAAGAAATGGAAACATCGTAGTGAACGCCTCAAACTCTAGATAATCAGCCTATCCTACTCTTTACCCATATTAATTGTTTTCCCTTTCATTTTGAAAGGTGGTCATCTTGTCCTGGCTAATGTCTTCTAGTTGTACTCAGATTCAGTCTTCTCTTATCTCTTTTATTCTTTTTTATCCTTAGCCTTTCCTTCTCTACTGAATCCTTTCTTGTCAAAAACAGGTTCAGGTCTCTTTCATGTTAAAAAAAAAATTAAAAATAAACCATTTTAGCAAACTGGGATCCTTACTAGCTGGCACTATTTTACTACATATGTTCAGAGCGAAACTTCTAAAAAGAGAATTCTTTCTTTGTTTTCACCTTCTATATCATAACCACCTACAAACTGGAAATGTCACATAGCGCCTTAAATTTGGCTTGTTCAAGGGAAAATATATATATGATATATCATCTGCTGTTTTCACTATCCTGGTTAATGATTATATATTATAGTTTTTTATAAAGATTTATTTGTTTATGTATATAAGAACTGGGGTACAGGCCAGAGGTAAGGGGAGTGGGCGGATTTACCAGAGACAGAATGGGGAGCAGAACAGGCAGATCTACTGAAATATACTGGCGAATGGAGCAGCAGATGGGACTGGAGGGAATCTGCTGCACCATGTGGATCAGCTCCCTGGCCAGGAATTGAATTCATGCTGCAGTGGCTGCAGATAGTTTCAAAATGCTGAGATTTAATCCCTCGTGCCACGAGGGAGGCCCTCTGTATATTATAGTTTGAATGAACCCATGCTTGGACAAACCTATTTTGCATTTTTGCCATTAAGAGACGATTTTAAAAAAAAGCTAAATGAGAAAAAAAGCATTTGAAGTGTCTGTATATGTCTGTATATATAAAGCTTTTAATAATTGAGATTATTATTATCATGGTCATAGATAGTAGGTAATAGTAACGCCCATACTAAAAATTTGGGAAATATTTAGAAATTATATTGTTTAAAAATTTATGCATTGTAAATTTTATTTTGCCAATTTCCATATTGATGTTATCACTTTCCTTTACCTGTTGCATTTATTTCATTTGTCCATCTAACATTTTTTACTTAGACCAGCAAGAGCTTTTTATAATTTCATTCTTACTATTAGTCCTTCTTAAAATCCTTTTGTGGGTTTTCACTGTCTGCATGTTACATTCCTTATGACATACAGAATCTTTGAATTCACACTTAGCTTTCTTTATACTTTCACTGCTCTGTATATTTTCTAAAAAGTATGTCAGTCTTCAGCCGTATTAAACTTATTTTATTTCTTTCATTTTATATAACTATTGATGAACTACTGTCAGCCAGGAATAAAGCAGAGAATGACAGGAACCCATCCTCTTAAAGATATATTCTGATGGCAATAAAAAACAATTGGGAGTTTTGGCACCAATTTACTGAAAAGTCTTTGAAAATGAAAAGCATTGTAAGGTCTTTCTTTAAATATATTTGTAACTTTTTTTCTTTCACAGAAATGGAAAAAAAGCTGAAGGAAGAAAGAGAAGCTCGAGAGAAGGCTGAAAATAGGGTTGTTCAGATTGAGAAACAGTGTTCCATGCTAGATGTTGATTTAAAACAATCTCAACAGAAACTTGAGCATTTGACTGAAAATAAAGAAAGGATGGAGGATGAAGTAAGAAAAATGGACACTACTAAATTTGTTTATTTTACAAAGTAAACAATCATACGTTGTGATTGAAAAGTCAGTTATCATGGAAGAGATTTGAATGAAATGAACTATATTGATTTATGTTCACTGCTCATGATCATCACCATATCCCTACCTACTAAAATTTACATCTTCAATTACATATTGAACATTCACACCATAGAATCTATATCATGTTGCACTATGACAGTACAATTGTTTGTAGAGGTATGTTGAGGTGTCATCACTTTTCCCTGAAATAATTGAACATCTGCTTTTAAAAAAAAACAAAAAGCAAAACTCTATTATAAAGAATATGTGATCCCAAAGAATTTACTTTTAGATTTTGAGGAATGTGCAACTACAGTCTTGCCTGCTACAGAGAGCACATTTATGAAGCAGTGACTAAAAAAAGGACATTATAGTCTTGTTATTATGTTTTTTATAAATTATTCATTAGACTAGAAAGTACTTAGTTTACATGTATAAGTTAGAAAAGGGAGAAAGAGGACACAGAATATTCAGGAAAAACATTTACAAAGGTGGAAAGCTTCATGGATTATAGATGAGAGCACATTTATGAGTAGCTGGTACATTAAAATATCCCTTACGAATGTCTCCCCAAAAGTGGCATCATACTTACCTTCTATTTCAGAATTTCCATATAGGTTAGGGGTAGAAATAAACTATATTCCACCCCTACCCCCTGCCAAGATCTCATATTTAAAATGGGAATTAATTTGATTTAATAGTAAAGTCAGTAGTAGTAAACAGCCTAGAACATTAGAGACACTTTAGAATACCAATATTCTCTATTTGTAAAGTAATTATAATGTACTTAAGACTTGATTAATTTTCTTTTAAATGTCTAATGAGTTGTTAAAGAGACTTAAAATTCTAATTATTTTTCTTATTTACAGGTTAAAAATCTAACATTGCAACTGGAGCAAGAATCAAATAAGAGGCTGTTGTTACAAAATGAATTGAAGACACAAGCATTTGAGGCAGACAATTTAAAAGGTCTAGAAAAGCAGATGAAACAGGAAATAAATACTTTATTAGAAGCAAAAAGATTATTAGACTTTGAGTTAGTACAGATTACAAAGTAAGTCTCAACGTGAAATTTTTTTTATTCATTTAGTTTTATAACAATGTATATGGTTTTGGGGAATAGTTGCTTTTCACTGTACCACACCCACCACCAGTGCTTCTATATTTCTTTACCATCGGGTCCCTTCTCCCCTTTGTTCTCATCTCTACTTTCCCTTCCCTTCTAGTAGTTTCAATTCTGTAGTCATATTTGTTTTGATTTAATTTTGTTAGTTCTTTTCTTTTGTTTCTCTATAAAAGAAATAAATCATTCTGTAAGAAAGATTAGAAAACTACTGGCTTTACAGCAAATCTATGTATGGTGGAAAAAAGTTTTCTCCTAAGAGTTACATATCCACAAAAGTTACTATGTTTCTTCACACTAGAATAAAAATGAGATAAATTATTTTTTATGATGATTCAGTGCTGCTATTGAATTAGAAATTATTTTTATAATTTTTCATACTTATATTTTTTGTAAATATTTATTGAAAAACTATTATTGAAGGTAACATTGGTTTATAGCACTGTATATAATTAAGGAAATAGTGTCACACAAATGGGTATATCTTATGCCAAGTTAAGTGTTATTATAGCGTCAAAACTTATGTTACAATATCTTCATTTATAACCATAAATAATTCATGGATAAAATGTCAGTTTTCACTTGTGTTTATGTTGGTGAAATTCTTTCCCCCTCTAATAGCCATTATTTTAATTAAGTAATATGTTTTATAATTTTTCTTCTCCCCAAATACTTTCAGTGAGCACTTACTATGCCCTTTTATCAAGTATATACCTTAGGAAGTAGGAGTTGGAAATACAAAGTTATTAATATATAATATGGAAACCTAGCAGCTGAAGATTAAATTATTAGTCCTTGAAAATCATGTTTGTGATATATAGTTTATCTGTTTTACTGAGTCTGTTACTCCCTATGTGAATTGTACTTAAGTATATATATTTTATATACAAATGTGTATGTAGGTGTCTGTCTATGATCCTTGTCAGTTTATTGTGTTTGCCTCCCTCCTCATTTCTGTCTGGTTGATTCATTACCATTCTACTACTATTCTGTGCTTAATTAGCTATAAAATATAGTATAAATTATTTTTATTTATTGGATTATTTTCAAGTCTCTGAATTGTTTACTATATGATTTAAAATGTATACATAAGAATGCTTTTCTCTATAAAAATTTAAAAACAATTTTCAGTTTTGCTCTTTAGATTAATCCACAATTAATAGTCTCCTGGAAGTGACACCTTCACTAGGAAAGGGTTCCCTTTGCTTTGCATAGTATTATTTCATAAGGAGCAAAATTGAGTTAATATGATCCATTCAAATGTAAATGTAGTTAACAGATTATGAAGTATGATTTAAAAAAATAATTTAATAAACCTTTTTTTACTTTAGCACTTTTAATAAAGAAACTAAAGTTCTAGAGTAAATAGCATTCATTTTCTCTTTTCTTTCAAGACAATATAGAGGAAATGAAGGACAGATGCGGGAGCTCCAAGATCAGCTTGAAGCAGAACAGTATTTTTCGGTGAGATACATAAAGACTGTTAAAACCTAACTAAAAAGGAGGTGTTTCTATTTTTTGATGTGAACTGAATGACTCTGAAGTGTTTTTCATTATCTAATCTTGACATTTTCCTCTGAATCTGAGTTTGTAGTCTAACTTATAAAGAAATGACCATTTATGCTAATGTTCCAGAATGCCTTCAACCTAGGACTATATATGACTTTGTTAAGGGTTCTGTTTGCAAGCTCAGGTGACTTAACGTGCCACTATTATCAAGTATGATTCATGAATACACATTGCATTTTTTTTTTAAAGATTTATTTATCTGTGCATACAGAACTGGGGTACAGGCCAGAGGCTCAGGGGTGGTGAGAGGATTCACCAGAGACAGAGTGGGGAGCAGAACAGGCAGATCGACGAAGGACACTGCTGAGGGGAGCAGTGGGCGGGTCAGGAGAGGTCTGCCATGCCATGTGGTCACCTCTGGGGCAGGCGGGAATCGAACTCATGTGGAAGCGGCTTTAGATTCTCAGTGCTGTGCTTTAACCCGCTGCGCCACCAGGGAGGGCCACACATTGCATTTTTAAGTATAACTAATATTCAAGAACTTTTTCCTATTTTAGGTCTATATGCACTTTGTGCTTTGCACATAGAAATTTTCCTCATTTGCTTTAAATCAGTTATTTCCACTGCTGGTATTGATGAGTATTTAACCTGATGCTTTGAGAATTTATTGAATACTCTGAATTTTTTGTTTATTTCTTTGGAGCCATTATTGTGATATATGTCCCTCTTAATACTGCCTGTGCTCTATCCCATTTATGTTTGGGAAGATTGTGTCCTCATTGTCAACTGTTTCAAAGTATTTGTTTATTTCCTCATTAACCTGGTGGTTTTTTCAGTAGAGTGTTCTTCACTCTGCACATCATATGGGATCACTGGGTTTTCTTTTTGTAGTTGATTTCTAGTATGGTACCTTTATGATGAGAGAAAATTCTTGGTATGGTTTCAGTGTGCATGTACTAATTGATGTTTGTTTTGTGACCCAGTATGTGGTTAGTGCTGGAGAGTGATTTGTGTGTACTTGAGAAAAATGTGTATTCAGTTTAGGGGTTTTACTATCTTGTAAAACATTGTTAGACTTGTGTGGTCTAAATCTTTTTTAGGGCTATTATGCCCTAGTTTATTTTCTGTCTTATCGATCTGTCCATTGGGGAGAGTGGGGAGTTGTAGTCTCCTACCAGGTATGTACTTTCTCTGGTGTCTGTTTTCAGAGACTATAGTAGTTATCTAATGTGTTTGGTGCTTCCTCATTTAGTGAATATATTCTGATGAACATTATGTCTTTCTGATGTATTGTCCCTTTGATGATTATATAGTGTTCATCCATGTCTCTTGTCACCTTTATATCTGGATGTCTATTTTATGTATATAAGTATAGCTACCACTGCCTTCTGTTAGGTGTCTTTTGCTTGTAGAATTATTTTTTACTTTCATTTTATGTTTATCTTTGGATCTATGTATTATCTTTGTTTGGTTTTTGTATCAGAGTAATGATAGCCCCATAAAGTATTTCATTTGTTTTGCAGACGCTTTATAAAACCCAGGTAAAAGAACTTAAGGAAGAAATTGAAGAAAAAAACAGAGAAAATTTAAAGAAAATACAAGAGCTACAAAATGAAAGGTATGTACATTTGACTATAGAAAAAGGAGTAGCACTGCATTCTTAATTTTTTCCTTGCTGCTTTTATACAAATGCATAGCCAGGAATAAAAACATAAACAGTTCTTGTAACATTTTAAAGCTTAATTTAGATACTTCTATCTAAATTTGATGCAAAGCAGTAACCCCAGATAAGAACATGTTATGAACCTGAAGTCCTATATTATAATAGCACAGAACCACCTCTAGTATTTATAGTTACCAGTGACAATACTACCTCTTTTCCTAATGAAGTAGACAACTATTACACATCTTCTGTCTTTAGCTCCAACAACTTCTCTTCAACAAATGACCTTGCTTCCTGGAATCCAGAGAATGCCTATTGTCTCCCACCACCATAGCTGCTAATAACCTCTCTGCATCTGTACCTATAAACCCTGCTTTCCTTCTCATTCATATAAATGGATAATATATGCTTTTGCTGAAGCCAATCTCCTGACCCCATCTCTTTCTACATACTTTTGCATAGCATTTCAGTGTTCTCTAATCTTTTCTACATCAATTTTTCCCTTTGTACAATCATTTCCGTTATTACAAAAACATTGAAATACTTTTTTTAAAGCCCTACTTTCACTGCATATCTACTTGTAGCTACTTTTCATTTTTCTAATTACTTTTGTAATAAAATTCCCTGGAAATTGACTTGTCATTTATCTTTATATCCTCTTCTCCCATTCTTTTGAACTCACTCAAATCAGACCTTTATACTTACCACTTTACCTAGAAACCTTTCGCAAGATTATCAGTGACTTCAGAATAGTTAAAAGCAGTAGTTTTTCTCAGTTCTTATCTTAACTAACAGCATTTGATGTAATTGACTATGTTCACTTGACAGAATTTCTTCACTTCTGTGGCACAATTTTCTTCATTTGAACTTGTTATTCCTTCTGTTTCCTTTGTTCCTTTGTCCCATAAGGTTGGAAGATGCAAAGGTTCACTCTATACTTGTTCTCATTCATGGCTTTGAATAGCAACCACATACAAATACATTCTCCCCTGAATTCCAGACTTGTGTCTAGAACACAAGTTGTAACATGTCCAGAAAAAATTTTATTTCCTCATCTCACTTACCTGCCCTCTTCCCTGTGTACCCTACTTCAGTATGAGCAATTCTGTTATTCTAAGTGATTTAAGTAAAATTCTTGTAGTTATCCTATTCATTTTTCTTTTAGATTATACATGTAATAAATTTAGAAAATTTCCTAGCTATAATTAAAATAACTACCCAGAATCTGATCTCATCTTATGACTTGTACTGATTACCATACTGGTCCAGTTGCCATCATCTCCAATCTTGATTAGTATAGCAGCCTCCTAACTGGTGTCCCTTTCTCTGCCATTGTCCCCTTACTGTCTGATTTTAATACAGCAGCCAGAATTACCTTTTTAAAACAGAATACTCAGTATGAAAGTCCAAGTCCTTATATTGTCTTATTTAAAAAAAAAAAAAACCACTCAGTATTTGTTCTTCTGTCTTCTCACTGATCTACTAGATCTCTTAAAAGTTCTCCATCTCAGCCCACAGGGATTACAGCTGAGATGGGAAAAGGCACAAATGATGTAAAAATAAACTAAAAAAAAAAATTTCTCTCTTACTTTGCACATACCGGCTTTCTTCAGATCAGTCTTAGATTATTTGTATTAGTTATTCTATCTAAAACACTATTTTTCAGGTCACTGCATGACTCACTTCTTACTGCCTTCATATCGTTTCTCAACTGTTTTAGAGAGACCTCTTTGATTACTTTATAAAAAGTCACCAAGTTTGCAACCTTTCATAACTTTCCTCTTTTATTCTCTATGATATACTATACTTTACTTGTTCATTTTTAGAAATTGTCTGTTTCCCTCACTTATGTATGCTCCCTGAAGGCAGGAGCTTTCTTATTGTTCTATGCCTTGATTCATAGAACAGTGCTTGGCACATAGCAATACCCCAATATGTATTAGTTGAATGAATGAATATTCCTTTTTTGTAGTTGTTGTCTGGTTCCCTATTTGGCTTGAGTCAGAAAATTTTAATTGCATTACTTTCTTAGTAAAAAATGGTGGAAGTTATTTGCTCCTTAATTTAACAATCATTTATTGAGCATCTGTACAGGGGGATGTACATCATGATCTTGATAGTTTATCAAAGAGATGCTCTTTTGGAAGAAAAGGCAAACAAGTGATCTAGTCATGATTTCAAGTTAATTCTTGAAAAGCTTTAAGATATAATTCCCAGGAAATATTATAATGATCTGCAGATCTGTTTATAAGTCTTCATAATCTCATTGAATTTCAGAGCTGGAATTTAGTTTAACTCTCAGTTTATAGATTTGATTAAATTGAGCCCCAGGAAGGGAAAGGAATTTATTTGCCCACTTATTTTGTGATATAATGGAGATGCTGACCTTCTGGTAACAAGCTAACCTTTCCACTGTGGCATGCTGTATTCTGTTCCAAATTCACAACAGATTTCTTGGCAAAAGTAGATTGCTTTAAAAAAAAAAATAGATGGGCCCTCCCTGGTGGCACAGCAGGTTAAAGCACCACACTATGAAGCTAAAAGCCACTTCTGCATGAGTTCGATTCCCGCATGCCCCAGAGGTGACCACATGGCATGGCAGACCTGCCCACTGTTCCCCTCAGCAGTGTACTTCGTCGATCTGCCTGTTCTGCTCTCCACTCAGTCTCTGGTGAAGCCTCTCGCTGCCCCTGAGCCTCTGGACTGTACCCCAGTTCTGTATGCACAAATCAATAAATCTTAAAAAAAAAAAAAAATAGATGTAGACAGTTCGCCATTGCTTTATTAGCTTTTCTTAGGTATGCACAATGGCAGCCTTCTTTACTTTAGTTTTTCAAAGTGTGTGAAGGCCATTACTTTTCAGAAAGCTTGTAATGGATTTGTAGTTTATTTTAAGCAATGAAATACTAAATTCTTTTATCATTTAAAGATAATTATTTTTAAAACCCAAATGCTCAAAACTAGATGACCAGATCAAGTAGGTGTGGTATATATACACATAATGGAATATTACTCAGCAATCAGAAAGACAAAATTCCTGTAATTTACAGCAACGTGGGTGGAGCTGGAAGGGATTATTCTCAGTGAAATAAGCCAGAATGAAAAAGAATAATTTTAGATGGGTTCACTTACAGGAGGAATGTAGGGGAACCAAATAAGTGACCAGGAAAAAAAAAATTACAATAAAATAAAAATCGAAACCAGCAGACAATTTTAAGTCAGAGACATTCTGTAGGGGAAGAGGAGGAAAAGGATAAAAACAGGATAGGGAAGAACACAAGGGACTGTGGTGATGGTGCATGTGATTTGGTGATGGGAATTTTATGGGAAGTATACCTGAGAGGAGAAAGCAAATACTGTTCAAAAATGAAGAATGATTTAAAATATATAACATTTTAAAAAATAAAGAATTGTTTTTAAGCATATGATTGAGTTTGAAAGAGTGAACTTGTTTTGTTTATATCCATTCTTTTATATATCTGTTGCAGAGAAACTCTTGCTACTCAGTTGGATCTAGCAGAAACAAAAGCTGAATCTGAGCAGTTGGCTCGAGGGATTCTGGAAGAACAGTATTTTGAGTTGACCCAAGAAAGTAAGAAAGCTGCTTCAAGAAATAGACAAGAGATTACAGATAAAGATCACACTGTTAGTCGGGTAAGTGTGGTAGTCAGGTAAGTTATGTGACCCAAATTAGTAATCTTTTGAACAATATTTTTATGAGGATTAAATGAAATGAGATACATAGGTGGAGAGTAAATATATTACTAAAAGTAATCAATTAATATGTATTTTTGTTATTTCACCATTATTCGGGTGAAAAAACTGAGGTCCAGGAAGATTGAGGTTACAGAATAAGAAGTAGCACAAATTTTCTATTTTCTAATGTTAGTTCTTCCTTTCATTAATACCTATACGATATGAACATTTTTGTGTGTCTGATTGAATATTGAGATAATTTTTGGAAGATAACAATCATTTCAAATTATTTTAAACTGGGATGTATTTTAAATTAGAAACCCAGGAATTTTCTGTTATTAAGCAGTGTCTGATAGTCATCTGTATAGATTGAGAATTATCATTTTTAAGGTTATAGCTTTAAATATGAGACTAGCATACAGGCTGTGATTAACCTTTGTGTGTTTTGTTTAGCTGGAAGAAACGAACAGTATGCTAACCAGAGATATTGAATTATTAAGAAAAGAAAATCAAGAGCTAAGTGATAAAATGAGCAAGGCAGAGGAAGGTATGTCCACTTTTTAAAAAAAATATTAAATTAGTTGCACAGGTAAATATATTGTTTTTGTTGAAATATGTTTTTCTGTATGTTAAATAACTTCTTTAACTTAATCTTACTAGAATTTAAATAAAAAGAAAAAGGACGTAATGGATGTGTTAATTGAGGAGGTGAATGTGTAGTGGTACATTCATCAAATTATCACATTATGCACATTAAATATCATAATTTTATGGTCAGTTATACCTTAATGAAGCTAATTAGTAAAGTTACTGAAAGTTGCTCTATTACATTTGAGTAATATTAACTTGAACATGAACATTGTTAATTTGAAATGCAGCATTAATGCATATTATATAATTTATTGACAGAATATAAATCAAAGAAGGAAGAGGAGATCAATAATCTTAAGGCTGCCTTTGAAAAGAATATCAGTACAGAACGAACTCTTAAAACACAGGTATACATACATATGCTCTCATTCTTTTGCATGTGTTTGTATTTGAGTACTATATATTCAGAAATTATTACTTGTATTTTTTATACATTTTTTCAAACTGAAGTTAAAAAGTTGAAACTTTTCACTAGAACAAATGCAATATTCTTCATTACATATAGCATTCAGGAAATAGGATTTCTGCTGAGTTAAGAAAGTTAGTTTGTTTAATTATTGACTAGTAAGAACATGTTTTAAATTGTGTAGAAGAACTATCATTGACACTAGGAAAACTTAATGAAGAGAGAAAAACTCTGGTATGAAGCCAAGATAGAAGAATTGGAAATTACTCTTGAGTTGGCATAGCATTTTCCTTTGTATTTATTGACATAGCCAGATCAGATTTTTTTACACTAAAACTTGATGCCTTGTCATTTTATTAAGTTATCTAATAATTTAAATTTTCATAAATTACTTTGTACTTCAGGGGATTTTTATAGTAAGATAAATACTTTCTACTTTTTAGTAATAGGTTGTAATAACTTTCTTACAACTAATCTGCTCTCCTTCAGCAGTTCTTTTTTTTGCAGCTAGGATAAACATTCAGAAATATACTTTATCTGTTGAAAATTCTTCAGAGGAGATTTTGCTTATCTTCATGATAAATTAGAGATCATGGTGAGAAAAATGACATTGACTATATAAAAAATCAAGTTTGAGCCCAGAGCAATATAAGTTGTAAGAAAATAAAGTAGGAATAATATTTACAATGACTATAAAGCGCATTTGTGGCCCTCCCTGGTGACACAACAGGTTAAAGCGTGGCATTGCAAGCTAGCTGCAGCTGCTGCAGTGCAAGTTTGATCCCCGCCCCTGCCCCGGAGGTTATCCACATGCACAGCAGACCTCTTCTGTCTTGCTTGCTTCTCCCCTCAGCAGTGTACTTCATTGATCTACCTGTTCTGCTCCCCACTCTGTCTCTGGTGAGTTCTCACCACCCCTGCATCTCTGGTCTTTACCCCAGTTCTGTATGCATGAATAAATAAATCTTTAAAAAAAATTTGTATATAAAAAAAGACAATATAAGGGGGAAGATGGGAGGAGGAGTCAGGAACAGTTGAGAGAAAAAGAAACAGTAAAGGTTAAAAAAATGATCAACCTCAATATAAACCAAGAAAATTAAATTAAAAAGTGATACCTTTTCATAGAACAGCAGATTTAAAATTCAGGTTCATCAGAAACATGGGGGAAAGTTCATTCATATACTATTTGAAGAAATAAACTATAAGAACAGTATGTCAGAAACATTGTATTAAGATGAAAAAAAAAAAGAACCATATGACAGAACAAAGCATTTTCATGTGCATCTTCTTTGACTTTGTAACTGCCAATTTAGGAGTTTATTATATAGAAATAGATAAGGTCAAAAAATATATAAATGAAATACAATTACTGCAACATTATTTTTTTTAAGTAATTTTTTTTAAAAAGATCTATTTATGCATAAAGACCTGGGGTACAGGCCAGAGGTGCAGGGGCAATGAGAGGATTCACCAGAGACAGTGGGGAGCAGAACAGGCAGATCAATGAAGTACACTGCTGAGGAGAGCAGCGGGTGGGTCAGGAGAGGTCTGCTGTGCCAGGTGGGTCACCTCCCTAGTGGCTGAGGATCAAACTCATGCTGAAGCGGCTGCAGCTAGCTTTGCAGTGTTTTAACTTGTTGCACCACCACAGACGGTACTGCAACATTATTTTTAATAGTGAAAAAACAAAAACACCTATACATCCATCAATATAGTATAGATAAATCATGATATAAACCATGCACTGGAATACACCGGAGCTATTAGAAATTACTAGACTTACGTGCATGAAATAGATGAATAATATTTTCAATGATATATGACACAGTATTAGATTTAAAAAATAAGTTGCAGCAGAGAATATACAGTATGATCACACTTAAGTATATGTTATCTATTTATATATGGGTAAAAGAAAGACTATACCTAACAGTTTGAAAAAAGAAAAGATTTAAGCAGAAATGGACTTTAACTTTCTTCATGACATCTCTGCATTAGGATTTTTTTGTAATAAATATATATTAGATGTATTATTAGAAAAAAGCCAGATACACATTTATGCATGCAATGATGTCAGCTTTTAGTACATTTTAAAAAGTTATTGAAGGTCTCATCATCATCTAACCTAATCTAATCCAGTGTTAATGTGACTTCATTTGTATGGAAATGATGATACTGGTTAGGATTTTGTCTGTCTTAATAGAAAATCTATGATTTTTTTTTCTTTTTACATTACTATACCATGTATACTATAACAAGTATACCATGACTTTTGTTTTACAGTTTATATAGTTAAATTCATGTACTTTAATAACTTCTGTTTTGAGTGTATTGTTTTCTTGGCAAAAAGGATTACTTCAACTATTTTTGTTCCATTCCTAGACAGAGTCCCTCTCCCTGTACTTTCCTATGTATTCAAAAAAAAAGTTACCTTTGGCATTTTTGCCTGTGTACTGTTTCCTTTCATTTTAATGCCATCCTTGGCTTGTCCCAGTAATACCATTTCTTCTTTGCTTATCCATTCCTTTTTGTCATTTTAAGAAACATATGTGAACACATATACAGGTACCTTTATAGCATTCCTTTACCACCCTATACTATAATGCTTGCTTGTTTGACTCCTCTACCAATCTAGAATGCCTTTGGGGTATGAGTGTATTTTCTGTCTTTATATTTAGTGACTATCAGAGTTTTCTATACAATATAATAAATGCTAAATAATCGTTGAACAGCAAATGGATTTTTGTTATATTTGATCAGTGAAATAAGTCAATAATAGTCACTTGTGCTACTGGTTATGTCTCAGTCTTCTTAAGGTTCTCCTAATTTTCATAGAAACAAAATGCCTGATTTTGATGGAGAAGTAAATTCCAGTGGAGATTGATGTTGCCAATACAATAGAGATGCTTATTAACAATTTCTTAAAATATTTGAATAGGCCGTTAACAAGTTGGCAGAAATAATGAATCGGAAAGATTTTAAAATTGATAGAAAGAAAGCTAATACACAGGATTTGAGAAAGAAAGAAAAGGAGAATCGAAAGCTACAACTGGAACTCAACCAGGAAAGAGAGAAATTCAACCAGATGGTAGTGAAACATCAGAAGGAACTGAATGACATGCAAGCGGTAAGGTTTGTGCACATGTGTACATGTATGATTACTTTATAAATTGTTAATACTATAATACACTTATTATCTGTTGATCTTGTTTAGGTTATTTTAGTATAAAATGCATACTTTGGTGTATATTCCTCCAAATTTGACTATTATTAAAATCTGAACCATGATCTTGAAAAATGGGTAAGATGCTCTGTTGACAACCACTGTGACATGAAAAATTTTACTAATTAACATTTTTTTATTAGAGATGCTAATTTTAGAAAAACAATCAAGAATTTTGACTGAAACTAAGATATGGTTGATTAAAATTCACTATAGTTGGTATAAAGGCTTGTTGACATATGACTATGTTTAATCAGGACTAATTTTTCTAAATCAGAATATCAGAACTTAATATTTAGTTACTTCCTGTATTGTTACTAACACTAAATTAAGACCATGACATCTCTGATCTTAGTCAGACTTAGACCCAAACATTGACTCCATCATTTTTGGCTTTACCATCCAGCATAGTTTCCTGTACCTTTTGAACAACTTCATTTGGACTCATAAGAGAAACTTCGGTTATTTAGTGTTACTGTTGTTTTTTTTTTTAATGCTTTGTATTAAAAAAAAACTAACAATTCTTATTTAAAGCAAGGAATAAAGGATTGTGTCTAAGCACTGCATTACTGAGAAAGAGAACTTTTTTGGAAGTTTCAAAACCTGTGTGTAAACTTTCATGAATTTTACAGTAAATTTTTGGTATTAGCAGTTTTATTTTTTAACCTTCCTCCCCAGTATTAGCAATTTTAGATTGCTTATTTGTTTTAGATTTAAATTTGGATCATTTACTTAGAGTTCCATTAGTGCTTAATTTTGGAAGCTTGATCTTGACTCAGTGTTTTTCAAAAATAGCAACTGGTAGAAGAATGTACACATAAGAATGAGCTTCAGATGCAGTTGGCTAGCAAAGAGAGTGATATTGAGCAATTGCGTGCTAAACTTCTGGACCTTTCGGATTCTACAAGTGTTGCTAGTTTTCCTAGTGCCGATGAAACTGATGGAAACCTTCCAGGTAAGAATATTTGTATGACTATTAAAGTTTGCTTATTGTATGACTATTAAAGTTTGCTTAAATATCATGGTAATTAATGTATGTTTGTTTCATTTTGTTTTATACCTCTTTCTCATTGTCTGTGGATTATTAAGAAGGAATTTATTTCTGATAGCTAAAATATGACTATGTACTTAGTACATTTTATAGAATAAATGGAATCATGAACAATCTTAGCCTGTTAAAATAAATAGGAAAAAAGCTGCCTGAGTAGTAACCTGAAGAAGTTTATGAACTTATGTTGATTAGTTTAACTCCCTAGTGAAAGTTGAAGCTGTTGCTACACTTCACTATTTTAAGAAAATTGTACATTTTCATGAGTAGCAGCTTTTTAATGTTATTTTCTATTTTTGTACTAAAACTAAGAACTATACTTCATCAGAAGAACAGCAACTCTGAATAGCAACCTACTCAATATAGTAATGATAAATTTTAATCAGGCTTAAGTTTCAAGTTTGGAAAAATAATTTTGGAGATGCACTGTGGGGGCAGGGATTCAAGTAAAGGTAAAAGTGAGTAGTAGGAATTCAGACTTTTTTCTTTTTCTCAGTGGAAAATCCATTAAAACTAAATAGCCTTGGTTTTGGTTAATTGTAGTATAAACTATCACATACACATATTTAATATAATAAGTATTCTTCAAGGTTTTGGAAGTTGAAAGTATATGCTTCAAAGTAGATTTTAATTTGTATAATTCCTGGTAATGTATGAATAGAAAGATATATACGAGGTGGCATCAAGGGATTCTATTTTAACAAATATTACTTGGGTTTTTTTTTAATTTAATATAAAAACTTTGATAAAGTAATAGTTTTTGACCAATAATTCTTGGTGATACTGAGGATGGGAAGTTAATTCCACTCTTATTTGTAAACCATGTGCTTCCCTGGAAAGGGAATGGTAGGTAATGTATTATGTTTTATTTCAATGGTCAAGGAATTCTTTTCTTGTCCCTCATTAGCACCAGTATAATTTTAGATCTCTTTAGTAAAGAAATTCTTAATCTATTTAGTATAGGTTTAGTATCCTGACCAGAGGTTGCATCCTTATTCCTCCCACTTCTCTTTAACTGTGTTATGAGTGTCTGGATTTTCTCTGTATTAGGTTAAATATTTCAAAGACTTAACCATTATTGGGTTTCTGCTACTTAGATTTTTAAATTGACAGATGAATTTGGGAGAACTTGATGAGAAAGATGTGAGTGTTATTCTCCATCCTGGCCTATTCAAGAAGGCTAACCTTAGAGTATCATCAGATAGTTTGATTGACTGGCTTAGGTTAGGAATCCATGTAGATTTAGAATCCACCTAGGAGCAGTCAGCAAAGAAATTTTAAATTTTTTTTACCAGAACTATTCTGAGTACATTGTTTATAATAGCTGTATATTTTCAGACTTTGTTTTTAAAGTTTTCAAAGTCCAAGTGAAGAAAAAAGTATAAATGAAACAAGTGTTAGAGGCCACTGCGCATTGCTATACAAGGAAATCATCTAGGTGTCTTTTTCTCTATCATTGTTTTCTCAGTGTTGAAACTTGAAAAGATTTCTACAGTGCTATACATATTCTTAATTTTCATATTAGAGATAGAAATTAATGGATAATCAAACTTATTTTAATCTTCAAATTTATTTTTCTGGAGAAACTGTGTTTATGATTTGAAACACAGAATTTTACTTGTAGATTGCCACTTAGTTTGGAAGAGATCATAGTTTGAAGGAGGTGCTTACTGGTTAACTTCATCTAAGCCAGGAATACATAAACAGAGGAGAATCTAGTGTATATATATTTAGTTATCACCAATCTTAGTTCAGTAACTTCCTTGAGAGAATTCACCAAAAGAAGAAAGTAAAATTGTTTACTATAATATTATTGTTTTAAATGGCAAAAATCTTAACATCTTTTTCAATGCTCTGTATTTCCTCATTTAATTTAAATTAGAGGAAATATAAATTGGGCTGATTTGATTCATAAACTTGATATATAAATTTGTATGGAAACTTTGAATTGACAAGCGAAGTTATAACATTTCATTGAAAATATATTAAAGAAAACACTGGACGATTAATCTAAGCCTGAGGCCAGAAGGCATAAATATTTTTGACATTTACTTTCATAGAAAAATAAATAGGGGAAGATACAAATACAATTTTCTGTCACTCAAGATTTCTGACTGTCACATCTTTTACTGTGAGACTTAAGTAGATTTAGGAGTATCATCAGATGCTAAGACTACTTTGTTACTATTTTTGATTTTAATGTTGTCCAGATTATTCTTTAAAATAAGAGCTTCAATTTTTGGTATATTGAGAGGAAATTTTCCTAGCAATAACTTTTTATTTTGAAAAATAAGAACATTGAGACCTCTTTGGTGGCACAGGGGTTAAAGTCCCATTGCTATCAAGCTATTGCCAGCAACTGTGGCATGAGTCCCATCTCCAGCCAGGTTGATAATTCACATGACATAGCAGACCTCTCTTGCTTCCCTCCCTGCTCCGTGTATTTCAGTAGATCTACCTGTTCTGTTCCCCACTCTGTCTCTGGTGATCCTTTCACCCCCTTTACCTCTGGCCTGTTCTTGTATGCATAAATAAGAATAAATATATTTTTTAAAAGATTTATTTATTTATTCATATAGAACTGGGGTACAGGCCAGAGATAAGGAGGCTGAGAGGATTCACCAGAGCCAGAGAGGGGAGCAGAACAGGCAAATCAGCGAATTACACTGCTGAGGGGAGCAGTGGGTGGCTCAGGAGAGGTCTGCCGCGCCATGTGGATCTCCTCCGGGGCAGGCGGGAATCGAACTCATGCAGAAGTGACTTAAGCTTCTTAGTGCTGTGCTTTAACCCGCTGCGCCACCAGGGAGGGCCCAAGAATAAATATTTTTAAAAAAGAAAATATTTTGGGCCCTCCCTGGTGGCGCAGCGGGTTAAAGCACAGCACTGAAAATCTAAAGCCGCTTCCGCATGAGTTCGATTCCCGCCTGCCCCGGAGGTGACCACATGGCGTGGCAGACCTCTCCTGAGCCACCCACTGCTCCCCTCAGCAGTGTAATTCGTTGATCTGCCTGTTCTGCTCCCCGCTCTGTCTCTGGTGAAGCCTCTCGCCACCCCTGAGCTTCTGGCCTGTACCCCAGTTCTGTATGCACAAATAAATAAATCTTAAAAAAAAAAAAGAAAGAAAAAAAAGAAAATATTTTGAATAATCATTAACCTTCACATGTTATTTAGTATAAAACTGCCCTTTGTTTTTTAAGTTATGGCCATTATTTACAAAGGATGGCTTTTATAGCCTAATTCAGAAGAAAGTAAAATTGAAAATAATCATTTATTTATCAAGTGTTTATTCTGTGTGTAAGATGTCATTAGGGTATATGGAAAAAGCATTAGCTCCCTATTTTTACAAGCTTTACCAAGGAACTACATAAAGAAAATAATTATTAATTATACTGAGAAGAAAAGTTGGGGAAAATGAGGGATCATTTTGAACTAAAGTTTATAATTTTCTCCACTTTAAAAACAGCTACAGTTTATCTCAAAGGGAATAACAAAAGCAAAGGACTTTAAGTACATGGAAGAAGTTGGAACAAGATTACCCTTTATTCAGTTAACTGCAAAGTTTGTTAAAATACTGAATAGCATTATGCTTTAGGAATATAAGCTCAGAAATTAGCCTGCCTGTGCGAACCGTACAGTTTTTAACGTTATCTTCAGTCTCTTCATTTGTACTTGGAGGATAATAGTAGAATGTACCCTAACTTATATTAGGAAGAATATAGTGCCTTGTATTGTTGGAATTATATACAGACATTTTTTATAAGGCACTGGGAAATAATACATGTTCAGTAAATGTTGCTTATTGTTTTTATTGTTACTGTAAAACTGAGTTGTTTTATAGCTTTTAAGTTATGTGGAGAAAGACAGTATATATTTTCATTAGGGTTCATGATTTGAACCATAGTGTAACCTGTCACATGAAAGCATTCCACTTTGAAGTTGGTTACTTTTGTTTCAAATGTAATGAAATATAGAAAATATTTTAATGCTCTTTAACTTGATTAAAGAGAAACATTTCTAATTAGATGATTTCATCAGAAGCCCATTCCCACCCCTCAGGTATTTTTAATATAAACATTTATTCTATTTAATGGGTAATATTTACAAATAATACCCTGGTCAGTTTAATCAAGGAATTTTCAGAAATTTTCTTTACACAGTAAAGTATTAGCAATTGACCATTTGAATTTTTCTATTATTTTATGGTTTATTAAATTCTGATACCAGAAATTATTATTAAACTATTTTTAATTTGAAATTAATTGTAATTGGACTCACCAATAGTGTATTAACTACTGCTATTCCAACTAAATTCAGGTAGTTTTATTGAAATTGTTGTCAGTGTTTTACCAAAAAGTTTATCAGAATATTGTACTGAGAAAACAAATAAAATGCTTGTCTCTTATTCTTTATATCTAGTTGATTCTGCCTGCATTCCTTATTTATTTATCTTCTTATCTTCTGTGAGTAATAGGTCACTTCTATACTTTTGCTTGCTCTTTCTTGTATAAATCATGGCTATGATTTGTTCCACTTGCTGCATAATTTTTTTTTTGCTAAGTATTTTTATATGAATGTTAAATTATATGTAAAGTTTTTGGTATCATCTCCCATTTAAGCTGCAATCCATTCCAGTCTTGTCTGGCTCTTAAGGATATTGTTATTACTTCATTCTTTTATAATTGGGTACTAAATGTTAATTTTATGGGAACAGTGGCTTGGAATTTTTTTCTGCAATATTTGTATGGCCATAAAGTTGATTTGTGTGATTGAAGCATGAAAGAGCAAAGTATAGCATATATCCATTTAGCTGTGTTCAAATGCTTGTTGCTGCATGCTATCAGACAATTTGTAATAGCTTTTCTTTTTGTTATAATTCAAGACTGAATAATATATATTCTTATTTCCCAGAGTCAAGAATTGAAGGTTGGCTTTCAATTCCAAATAGAGGAAATATCAAACGATATGGCTGGAAGAAACAGGTACCATATGCTTCACTTTAGCTAATTGTTATCTTTTTACTTTTAAAGCATAAAACTTGATTTACATTTTCTGTTACTAGCATACTAGTAGTATGCTATTCAAGAGAAATACAAACTTAAAATGAAATATTGCCACTTCTTTGGTATTAACCATTTATGTAGCCCCTTTATACTTAGAATGAAGAAAGATATGAGCAATTACCAGAGTGTATTGATGTTTTTATTTTCCAGTTTAAGAAAAATTGGTTGTGGAAATTTAAATGATTTTAAAGTAATACAACATAATCTAGACATAATAATTTGTATGCTATCACTTTAAACCAAATTAATGTTCTCATGCATCTTTCCAATTTGTTCTCATTTCAGTATGTTGTGGTAAGCAGCAAAAAAATTTTGTTCTATAATGATGAACAAGATAAAGAACAATCCAATCCATCTATGGTGTTAGACATAGAGTAAGTCACATGTTACCTACTTTTTTTTTCTTTACATATTTTTAAAACATTATATTAAAGCTCACTTTAGCAAAATGTGAGTGGGAAAAACTTGTATACCGGACTCATGTATTCTAAAGACTGTTTTTCATTTGTTTATTGATTTAAGATCAGAGCTGTCTTGAAAAGTGTTTGAATCTCTCTGTGTGTGTGTGTGAGTTCTTTTTAAAAAAGAGGTCAAAAAGGTCCATAATAATCTTAGGTTTTCTTCTTATATTTAATCTGAAACCTCTGCTGCTTGTATTAACATTACTATAGATTGTATAAAAATCAGATAGTTCTGTATTTAAGGAGCTTAAAGACTAGTAGAAGAGATGAAACAGTAAGAAACAATATAAATTCAAAGTGAAGTGCAGTGGGAGCCTTCTCTGGTGATGCAGCCCTGTGAAGATATCTGCAGCTTCTGCAGCGTGAGTTTGATCCCCAGCCAGGGAGGTGACCCACATGATGTAGCAGATCTCTTGTCCCTCCTGCTGTTCTCCTCAGCAGTGTATTTCAGTTGATCTGCATGTTCTGATCCCCACTCTGTCTCTGGTGAACCCTCTCACCTCCCTGCACCTCTGGCCTGTACCCCAGTTCTTGTATGTATAAATAATCTTTAAAAAAAAAAAAAAAAGAATGAAGTGTAGTGGATGCTATTCAAAAGCAATATAAAGTTAAAATGAAGTATTGCCATTCCTTTAATATTAACATTTGTGGAGCCTGTTATACTTAAAATGAAAAAAGAATTGAGCAGCTACCAGAAAGTACTGACATTTTATTTCTTGATTAAAAAATTAAATGTCAGCTCTAGTAGGATACTACAAAAACATTAATGAGGTATGTAACATCTAAATTATACATTTTAGATTGATGAGTTTGCCATTGTTTTACCTTTTTTTTTAGGTGCAATTTTCATACAATGAAATGCACAAATTTTCAGTGATCTTTGACTATTATAACACCCATTGAATCATCCAGTGCAAATAAAGGACATTTCCATCACCCTCCAGAAAGCTCACATGCCCTTCTCCTGGGTTGAGGAGGAAAATCTGAATTCTATCAGTGAGATTAGTTTTATCTATATCTATCCTAAAGGTCACATAAATGAAATTACAGTGTGTATTCTTTTTGTGCCTCACTTCCTTCATTCACTATAGTGTCTGAGTAATATGCTACATTGCTTCCAGTTTGGGGCTATTATAAATAAGACTTCTTATAAATAAGACTTCTGTGAACATTATGGACTTAAGTTTTTATTTTTCATGGGTAAATACTTAAGAGTGGAATCTTGGGTCATATAGTTTAACCTTTAAAACAAATACCAAATAATTGTTTAAGTGGTTATCATATTTTTTTATTCTATAATAGTACATATATTTTACAAACATGTGCTGTTGTCAGCCTTTGATTTGTGATATTCTAATGGATATGATGCTCTTATTGTCACATGTAAATCTTCATTACTAATAATGCCAAGAAATTTTGGATTTCATGACATCATTAATGATGAATCCATTCTTCATTGGCCTTTTGTATGCCCTCTTCAATGTCTCCAAGTCTTTTGCAAATGTTTAAACTGGGTGCTTATACTTTTAAGATTTATTTGTACAAATTTTTAATGTAATTTTGATATAAATCCTGTGTCAGAAATATATAATACAAATCTTATGTCAGAAATATATAGCACAAATATTTCCCAGTCTCTGATTAGCCTCTTCATATTCACATGTATACTGACTTTGAATCCTGTAATCTTAACTTTCATTTAGCAGTTTTGTAGATTCTTTCATGGATTACACAGGAGTTTTCTACAGATTTGCAATTCTGTAATTTCCAAATGGTGAATTTTCTTTTCAATCTGTATGTCTTTATCCTGTGTATAGATTCATATGACCACCACCACAGTCAAAATGTAAACCTCATTCCACCCTTTTATAGCCACAAAAGGCACCCTTTCTCCTCCCTAATTGCTGACAACTACTAATCTGTTCTCCATCTCTATAACTTTATCATCTTGATGATACTATATAAATGGAATAAAATAGTATGTAACCTCTGGAATTAGTTGTTTTTTTTTTTTTCCACTCAGCAGTAAATCCCTTTCACCATTGAAATTATAGTTTGTTTTCTTCAGTTATTGGGTAGTATTCATGGTTAGCCATTCATTGGGCTTGTTTCCATTTTTTGGGTTTAGGACTAAAGCTGCTGTGAAATTCATGTGCAAGTTTTTACAGACCTATAACTTTTCAATTCTTTGTGGTTAATGAACTAGGAGAACATCTGCTGGGTCAGATGATGACCAGATACTTAGTTTTATAAGAAATCATCATATTCTATTCCAGAGTGGTTCTGCAGTTAATATTTCTGCTGTAATTGTTTGAATGACCTAGTTTCTACATATTCTTATAATTATTAACTGTTTTTATTCATAAAACTCCCATAGATGTTGTGATTTTTTAAAATTTGTCATATCTGTATATCCTATGTAATGAGCTCTGTGTCTTTTTCATTTATTAAGTTTTATAATGGCCTATATCATGTTTTTATTTTAGTAAATTGTTTCACGTTCGACCTGTTACACAGGGAGATGTGTATAGAGCTGAAACTGAAGAAATTCCTAGAATATTCCAGGTAAAAATTATAATTTTAGAAATCTTTTTTTTAATATAAGTATTAAATACAAAGTATATATACTGTATATATACTGTATATATATATATGAAGTATAAATATACAAATGTTTTTATACATTTGAAAGACTAAGACTTTTAAAAATTTTTCTTTTACCATTTCTAAATGTAGATTCTATATGCAAATGAAGGCGAATGTAGAAAAGATGTGGAGATGGAGCCAGTACAACAAGCTGAAAAAACTAATTTTCAAAATCACAAAGGCCATGAGTTTATTCCTACACTCTACCATTTTCCTGCCAACTGTGAGGCCTGTGCCAAACCTCTCTGGCATGTTTTTAAGCCACCTCCTGCCCTAGAATGTCGTAGATGCCATGTTAAGTGCCACCGAGATCATTTAGATAAGAAAGAGGATTTAATTTCTCCATGTAAAGGTAAGGCATGGAAATTATTTTTATGACTTACAACAAATTAGAGAATTAACTCTCAGTGAAATAACTTCTTCAGGTATAGTATTTTCTATACCAAATTGAAAAAAAAGTAGATTTAGCTTTGATACAGTATTTTTAAAGGGAAGTATCTTTTTCTAAAAACAAAGATACCACCAAGTTATTCTAAATTGGTTAACAGAGGTATATATGTGTGTTCTACTGTATTCTAGCTTGAATCCCCATGCATCCCCCCCACTATTTTTGTCTGCTTTTCACTGCCTAGACTATATTTTGTAAAATATGCTAGTTTAGCTTAGGTAGTTCAACCAAAATAGCACAAATGTATTTTAACAATACATTTGTTTATAAAAATACATTAGTTTGTTTCATGGCTGTGTTTTATTTTTGTACTTTTGATTTTACTTTATCATTAGTATATAATTAATATTTCTTTTAGATTTTCAGCCTTAATTAAATTGAAAGGGGGATATTGTCCAAATATAGTGAATCTTTTAAATTTTAAGAAACTTACAAAATTATTTTTCAATGGCATTTTAAAGAAATTTTATTACTTTTTTTTTTTATATATAGTAAGTTATGATGTAACATCAGCAAGAGATATGCTGCTGTTAGCATGTTCTCAGGATGAACAAAAAAAATGGGTAACTCATTTAGTAAAGAAAATCCCTAAGAATCCACCATCTGGTTTTGTTCGTGCATCCCCTCGAACACTTTCTACAAGATCCACTGCAAATCAGTCCTTCCGGAAAGTGGTTAAAAATACATCTGGAAAAACAAGGTAAGGATTGAAATGTTAACCTTTTTAATGATATAGTATAGTTTTTGAAATTTTATTGTTTTTTTCCCTATAGAAGGCATTAATTGTAAATAGGTACTTATATATGACTTAAAATGAAACTTGAAATTACAAATTAACATGGTTTCTTTTAGAGAAGTTAGTAATATTTATAAATATGTATTTAGCTCTGTCAAATGATATTATCACTGGTTGGGAGGTGTAGTACTTTTTATCCTTTAATGTTTTAAACAAAACTGTGGTTTGTTCATTTTTTAAAATGTAAGTAGATTCACTTAAAACTTTGCTCACTTCATTTTTAAGCACATTGGCTTTTTTTAAAAAAATTTTCTTTAAATTGGTACTATCAGTGACTCATGTTATAAATTAAACTTCTAAGAATAAAAAGAAAAATAAACTTACTAGTTACTTACCCTTTTTGGGAGGGGGAATTTAACAGGTTTTGATGGAACTTTAAGAATATATATATATATATATATATATATATATATATGCATGCTGTAATAATGACAGAACCTAACTAATCCTTTCTTTTTTATTTATTTTTTTCTAAACCCTTTCTTGAAGAGAGGTTATATTTCAAGTTCTCATCTTGACATAACAGATGAGATTCAAAGCTAAGCAACTTACAAACAAGATCACATAGTAAACTAATGGCATAGTCAGATTTAGGAACCATTTTCATCCCATTCTAAAAAGCCTGTATTTTTTCTCTTTTATCATATACCAACTTTCCCTAGAATATAATACCTACATTAAAAGAGCATTTGAATCTGGAAACTGAAACCTAACTGATTTTGCTTCTCTCTGCTCACATCACCCAGATTTTCCAAGTAACCTGAAAACTGTCTTTAATTCATCTGATTTCTTCACTCCATTCTGTCAAAGCCAACCAAGTCTTATGCTTTGAACTAACTTGTATCTTGTTTTTACTCTAGTATCATTGCTTCATTCTTGATACATTCCTGTAGATTGCTGTATTAGTCCTCTTTTGTATACTAAAATTATTTAAATTTTTTAAAAATAGATCTTAACTTTGTAAAAAAAAAAGTGTTTTAAACTGATTGTAATTGAAAAGGAAATAATACTAAGTGTATTTTTCTTTTTTCCTAATTATTGTCTTTTTTTCCCTCAACAGCTAACCATATAGCACCTTGTGGAGTCACGTGGGATGCTACCTGATAAATGAGGCTTCTTTAACCAGGCAGAGCAGACAGGCTGTTCCTTTGACACAAATATCACAGGCTTCAGGGTTAAGATTGCTGTTATTCTGTCCTTGCTTTGGCACAAAAGCATCTGAGGGTTTTTTTTATTGCGGGTTTGCCTACAGGTAGATTAGATTAATTATTACTATGTAATGCAAGTACGATTGGGGAAGCTTAGCTAGATATATTTTTTTAAAAAGGTGCAGCCTTTTTGAATTCTAAGAAAATGCCTGTCAATCATGATAGAACATAATTTTCCTCATGTAAGTCAGAGGAAGATACTTTCACTTTCTCGTGGAATGGCTATCACTATCATGGAAGTACTAATGAAAATATCTCAAAATGAGACAACTGAAAATTTTTTAAATGACTTCAGTTTTTGTGCTCTTGCAGGACTATACAAAACTATTTTAAGATATAGCAGTGACGTCACTTGACTTCAGTGCTCTCACTGTAGAATCTAAAAGCCTTACTGTTTTTTGCCCATCGTGGACTTAATGGAGAATAAATATCTTACATATGCTTTACAAAATACTGTATGTGTTTCAGCAAGTTTATGGATTGGGGAATGGGAGAAGGCAAAAAAATTTACATTTAATCTATGCATTTTTTGCCAAGCCATATTGAGTTATTTTACTACTAGAAACATTAGGGACTAACTGTACAAAAAGAACCAAGTTTAAAAGCATTTTGTGGGGTACATCATTTCTGTAATTGTATAATGTATTTCTTTGTGGTTTTAAGTGATAAAGACATTAAGTTAACAAACATATTAAGAAATGTATGCACTGTTTGAAATGTAACTTATTCTTAGTACACTTTCAATGGGAGTTGCATTGCTCTTTTAGTGCCTTAATTTGAGAGAATTATTTTACTGCCATGACTAAATATAGAACTTTCAAAGACATTTTCAAAAAATGATGTCAGTGGGTTTTTTCTTTGATAATTGGTTTAATTCTAAAATATATGCATACTTGTTGGACTTTAATAAGTTGATTATAATCTTCATTGAGCTACCTGCAAAAATAATGACTATAAAATTCTACAAAATGTGTAGGTTTTACCATTATAAAGAAAAATTATGACAATACATCTGATGTTTTCCAGTTAACATAGGAATTACCAGATAAACACTCTTGTCAAATAACAAGAGTTGATTCTTAAGGGCAGTATGATTTATTATCTTTTTAACCAAATACCTCCTCAGTAATTTATAATGGCTTTGCAGTAATGTGTATCAAATAAGAAGCACTGGAAAACTGATTCGTCTCTAGGACGATATGCATGTTTCAAGTGGTATCAAAAGCCGCACTGATGGATATGTAATAATAAACATATCTGTTATTAATATGCTAATGACTCTGTGCTCATTTAATGAGTAATAAAAATAATTTATGGAGAGATACTTTTAATAATGACTTCTATGGTGTTTTCTCATGGCTGAAATGAATGGAAACCATGCTATAAAATAGTTTCTGACTGTATACAAATGTTTGTTAAATTGTAGATTAAAGTGAGTTTTAAAAAGATAAAACCTGGTTTGCGCTCTAAAACAAGTAGTTTAAACAGTTTTCCATGGGTCTTTTGAATTTGTTACTTCTTGAGAGCACAGGCTCTGGCAAGCCAGTTTTCTAGACTCTTCCAAAGAGATTTGATTAATGAACTTGCTTAGAGGCTCTTGTATCTTTCTTCAGAGGAAGGGCTATAATACAAATTATGTATCCCTTTGGGTTAAAGTTGACAGATTGTCTTATTCTCATTGTAAAAGACTCTGGTATGCCAAACTTGAGGTTTCTCAGTTATTGTGTAGACCTGATGTATGTATAACACCTAACAGGGACACTTTATCACCACCATGAGATAATAGAATGAAAAGTTTTTTAGAGTACTGTATAAACAGACTGAATCAAGCAAAAGAACCACTGAACTCATGGACAGATCATGTGAAATTATCCAGTCAGAGAAGGAAAAGGAAAAAAGAATGATAAGAGTAAAGAAACGGCACATTATCAAATAAAACAATATATGCACATGGGAATCCCAGACAGATTATAAGAAGACAATGGAACAGAAAGCTTACATAAAGAAATAATGGCTGAAAACTCCCCAACTCTGGTGAGGGAAATAGACACCCAAACTTGAAACAGCCAGCCAATCAAGACTACTATACCAAACAGGAGTCAGAAGGAGTCAGTCACCACTAAATATGCTGTACAATAACTGCTAACAGAAGTTGCTCAAGTTGAAAGATGCGAAATAGCAACACGAAAACATAAATCTCAATGGTAATGATACTAAATATATAGGCAAATTCAGTGTTATGTGAATTTTATTAGTGGTATACCAATCACATTAACCCAGCATAAAAGTTAAAATATTATGAATACTTTCAGCTATAAAAGTTTATATATACATAATATAAAAACATGAAATCAGTAATAAAATGTTAAATAAAAATGAGTTTTTATATTCATGTGAAGTTATGAACTTGAAATTGACTTATGTTTTATGAAGTTACAGGATAGCCACTAAAGAAAAATGTACAAACCAAAGCATATAATAAAAAAAAAATCACTAAATCACAAAGGAAAAATAAAAGAGCGAGGGAAATCTAAAAACAAAAGAACAATCAATATCACAATACAAAGTCCTTAACTATCAATAATTAAATATAACAGCATTAAGCGCTCCAGTCAAAAGACAAAATGGCTGAAGTTTAAAAAAAAAAAACCTACATACAGCTGTCTAAAAGAGATTCATTTTTATAATTAAGGGAACAGACTTAAGGAAAAGATATGCCAAAGATATGCCCTTTGGTAACCACAGGGGAGCAAAAGTGGTCACATTGTATAACTCAGAGATACTTTACTTTTGATTCTAGGCTATCACAGTAAAGCAAATATCACAATAAATTGAGTCACATGACTTGGTTCTCCAATGCATATAAAAGTTATATTTATAGTCTAGTAAGTGTGTGGTATCATTATGTCTAAAAGCATACATACTGTAATAAAATATTTTGCTAAGTAAATCGGCACATGCTGTTGGAAAATAATGCCAAAGATATGCTTGACACAGGTTACCACAAACCCATAATATGTAAAGTGCGATAATCTTCAAAGCATAATGACATGAAGTTCAACAACATAAGCTGTATCTGGTAAGTAGAAAACTCCAGTGAAAGTCATAAATCATACAATGATTAAAAAGGTTAATTAAACAGAAAGATAAAACATGCAACTAACATCAGATCACCGAAAAATATAAAGCAAATGTTACTATACAATTCTTGACAAATTTCACAAAGTTGAAATCATCCCCAGTAACTTTTCCAGCCACAGTGGAATTAAACTAAAAACGATAAAGGAAAATGGAAAAATTCACCAGTACAAGTTAAAGAACATTCTCTTAAAATACTCTTGACTAGCCATTAGTTCTAAGAGGAAATCAAAAGGGAAAATATAAAATATCATGTGACAATGAAAAATACAACATAAACTTATGGGATGCAGCAAAAGCAATACTAATAGGGCAAGTTTGTAGTGATAAATACTTATATAAACAAAGGAGAAAGATCTGCACTAATTACACCTGAAGGAGGAGCTACTATAAAAAGGAAACTAACCCCAATTAGCAGAAGTAGGAAAAGATTAGAGAAGTAAAAAACTATAAAAGCAACAGAAAAACTGACAAATATTTTCTAAAAAAAAAAAGAAACCTTAGACTAAAAAGTCAAAATTAAATGAAATGAGACAATGTTATAACAAACACAAAAGTTCTTAATGGGACTCTTACAAGAAATTACATGAAACAAATTGGATAACCTAGGAGAAAATGTTAAGTTCTCAGGAACAGTCCACTAAGACAAAGAACTAGAGATCTTGCATAAACCTAGAAAATTTTAAAAAGGAATTTGAATCAGTAATCAAAAACTGACCAATAAAGTTCTAGGAATAGATTGCTTCATAGTTGAATTCTACCAAACATTTAAAGAAGAATCGGTGATAAGCTATTCAAGAAAATTTAAGAGGGAGTACATCCAAATTCATGAGGTCAATATTACCCTGATACGAAAGTCAGACAAAGCTAATAATAAAAATATAAAAAAAAAAAACGAGGCCAATATCCCTGATGAATATGTATTCAAAATTTCTTAACAAACTATTACCAAATTGCATTGAACAACACATTAAAAGAATATACACCACGACAAATGGAGTTTATTCTTTAGATGGAATAAAGGATATAAATCAATGTGACATACAACACTGATGAGTAAGTATAAAAATCACCTCAATATGATCACCTCAATAGTGGCAGAAAAAGCATTTGACAAATTCAACACCCCTTTAAGATGGTCTCAATGAAATGAGCATGTAAGGAATTTACTTCAAAAGAAAAAGGTTACAGCTAACATACTGGTGAAAATGGAAAGATTTTCCCAGAGTAAAACAAAGCAAGGATGCCCATTCTTGCATTTCTTTTCAACATGGTAATGGAAGACTTAACCAGAGAAATTTGGCAAGGAAAATAATCCAAATCAAAAATTCCATTTATAAGAGTATCAAAAAGATAAAATCCTTAGGGAGGAATGTGACCAAAGAAGAGATTTGTGCACTGAAAAATTTGCAACATTTATGAAAGTTAAAAATACAAGTAAATGAACATACTTTCTATGTTCATGATTTGGAAGAATTATTGTTAAAAGTATTCATACTATCAAAAGCACTCATACTATCAAAAGCACTCTACAAATTCAATGCAGTCTGTCAAAATACCAAGAACATTTTTATGGAAATAGAAAAATAACCATAAAATTAATATAGACTCACAAAAGACCCTGTTTAGTCAAAGCAATTTTGAACAGAAGACATAAATATCACATCTGCTGATTTCAAAATATGTGACAAAGCTACAGTTAACAAAACCAGTATAATAACTAGCATAAAAATATACATATAAACCAATGGAACTGAATACAGGGAGCCGATAAATCTACATACACATAGTCAACACATCTTTGCCATGGGTGCCAGACTACACAATGGGAAAAGGACATTTTCTTCAATAAAGAGTGTTGGGGAAAGTAGATCTACACGTGCAAAAAATGCAATTGGACTCAATACAAATATCAAACTGGATTAAAGACTTAACTGTAAAACTCCAAATGAAAGCATAGAGGAAAGCTTGACACAGACATGGCAGTGATTTCTTAGCACTGACCTCAAAAACAAAAACAAATAAGATGGGATATATCAAATTTGCACAGGGAAGGAAGCAACAAAGTGAAGGACAACATATGGAATGGGAGAAAATATTCAAAAACCATGAATCTTATAAGGGGTTAATATCCTCTTGAACTTAGTATAAAAATAGTACACTGAAGAAGTTATTTCACTGGGAGTTATTTCTCTAATTGGTTGTAAGTTATAAAGTCGATTTGATGAATGGGTGTAGAGTGGAAAATTACATGAGAAAAATTAAGTTTATAGTATAAACAAACTTCTGTGGAATCAAGGAAATCTGAATGTGAGAATCATCACATGAGACTGGTACAATGTAATCAAGAATCTCTTCTGCTTTGCATGGCAGAGATTGCTGACTTTCCACTAAAATCCATTTTTTTCTTACGTAAGAGTAGAGTTTAAGATTGTATTCTTTGCAGTTAGAGACTACATTTCCCAGACTTTCATATGGCTAGACCTTGTTGACAGTTTTCCTTAAACGAAATTTGCATGGGAATTGTTAGGTGTACATCTCTCCAGTTCTTGGAAATTGGTGTGCTGCACTTTCCCCACTTCTATTTCTTCTTCCTGTGTGCTGAAATACATATTTAACCCAATAGAAAACAAAAACAAAAAGTAGACCCCTCAAATTGGCCTTGCTGTTCAAAAGGGCATTTTTCATAGTATGAGTATTTCCTGATTTTGTTAATTTGTTAAGGTTAACTTAAGGATTTTAATATGAGAATATTTCCTAGATGAATCATGTGGGACCAATGTTATCATAAGATTGTTTATAAACAGGAAAGCAGAAGATCACGGTCAAAGGAGTAGCTGTGATGATGGAAACAGTTGGAGTGATAAAGGAGTGGGTCCTGACACCGGGATTCGTTAGTAGCCTCTAGAATCTGGAAAAGGTGAAGTATAGAATCTCCTCTTGATCCTCCAGAAAGTATAGTCTTGCTAACACTTTAAAGTGAAGAGCATTCTTGAACTTCTGTTTGCCAGAACTGTAAGATGATAAAATTTGTTTTGTTTTATTTTAAGCTACTGTATTTGAGTTTTTTTTTTTTTTTTACTGTGGAAATAGGAAATCAATACATAGCTCTTCTATTCTGGGTAGCCCATGC